TTTTGTAACATCACATTCCACAGGCTCCACGGAAAGTCATTTCCACTACCTTGCCTTCAGTCTGTCCTTGTGCAACAGCCCATTGCTGAATGTCAGATCCTGTCATCATATGTCCCTGCTCTGTGTTTAACCCATGCAACAGTTTTCCCTCTTTGTTGCCTCCTGCCTCTATCAGAGCCTTCCAACTGCTTTTGAGAGCGTGTGTTGTGATTTGTGTCCTCTTGAGTAACCCTAAGATGTCTGAAAATGGGGTGGGACCCTGTAAGCCTGAGTGACACAAGGTTATGATTGTTTACTGGCTTTTAATACAAGCACTGCAGGAAATCAGAATAGAGCAAGACTGATCTGCACCTGTTTTAATGTGATGTAAACAGAGTGAAGAACTAAACTGTGGAGCTCTCTACCACAAGATTGAAGATGGCAAAGGCTAAAAAAATTAGACAAGCTCATAAGAGAAGCTGAGTATCTTCAATTAAGGAGGTACCAGCTCTGCCTGGGGAGTTCCTTAAGTCTCAAATAGCTGCAGAATTGAATATCACAACAAAGACCCTGTTTTGTTTATGTTCTGCCCTGCTATTTTCTCTACTGTTACTGGAGACAGGATACTAATGTAGAAAAACTTTTGGTCTGCCACAGTACAACTGTGTCTCCAAAATCAGCACAAACACATTTTTAAGAGTACCACTTGGGACACGTACCATGTTTGTGTTCTGCATGCTGGCACGAGACTGCAGGAGAAGGTGATTTCTTTCTGAAGGAGGGGGGCTCCTTTGTTTTGTACCTTCCTCTCGCTGCAGTGAGCAGAAAGGGACACGATGCTCTCCTCCAAAGGGCAGCCCTGAGCCTCAGGACTCTGACAGGGTGTCACTGCCTGCAGAGGAGGAATCCCTTGGGTGGCTTTCTAGTTACAGACTGAAGCTGCTGCCTGCAGAAAGCTGTCCTGTTACTGTGGTGCCTTAACTGGTCCTGCTCTACCTCTTGCTGTTCTTTGATGTGTGGACCAGAAAATTCAGGTTCCCACCCTGAACTGGCTCCCTCAAGTGTTGTGTCCTTGGTGGTCTGGGCACATCTCAGCATTCAACACACATGGCTGGCCCACAACCAGCTGGTCACATGGCCCTGTCCTCACCCAGGTTGTGGTGCCTTCAGAGAGTATCTGCTGTGTCCTGCCCTCCAATCTGTTACTGCTCCAGGGGCAACCAGCCTGTGCTCACCAGGCCAGAAGTCACTCCTCTCCTCTGTTAACCCCCTTTCCTGGATTCACATGTCCTCTCACTGCCTTGCTCTCCTTAAAACTTTGTCTTCCCCTGCACAAGTGGATTTGTTCCCATTAGGCTCAGATCACCTGGGCCACTTCTGCTCCAAGAGGCAGAGTTGTTCTCCTGTGACAGTGGGTTTGTGTCTGCCCTGGAACTGCACAGAGCCAACACGAGTGGGGAAGGGTCCAGGACAATCCAGGTTTGTTTTCTAAGGATTGGTGAGCATTTCACTCCAAAGGGGCTGAGAGACAGCGGAGGAGGAGCTTGTATGGTCAATGTTACAGGTGCCTGGAGTATGGGCCGGTGGAAATTCATTCTTGAATTCACACTAATACTGCCAGCTTATTTCCCTTCTTGCTGTGTCTCTGCTGCTGTTCCTTTAGACTTATCCACCCAGTCCTCTGAGGACCCAGGGAATCCCTGGTGTGCTTGACTGAATTTGTTGCCTCTGGGGTTCTGCAGGAAATCCCTTCCTCCATTCATGCCCCTGTCATGCCAACATTTCAACCTTTCATAGTGTGTGCCATCTTTGGTTTGGGGTCTCTGCTGAGTTCCAGGGGGGGCTGTAATTATCAGTAATCTCTTGCCTAGAGATGGATTCTAGCCCTGTCCCCAGCAGCTGGTAGGATGCACCATCATTCCAACACGTGAGCCCCCTGGGCAAGCTCCTCTTCCTTCCCCAGTACTTCTGTGGCCCCCTGAGTGAATGTCCCCTCTGCTCACAGGGAGGCACCTCTGCCTTGTGTGCCCTTCCCAGGGAGAAGGAGGGGGGAGAGGGAGAGCAAAGGCTTTGCCAACCCTGGGGCAGGGAGGGGGGCTGGCATTGGCAGCTTGCACAGAGCAGGCTGAGCAGGGGCATGTGGAGGGGGTCCCACAGGGATGGCCGTGCTGAGCAGCTCTCCAGCAGCTCTCCAGCAGCTTTCCAGCAGGCTCAGGTGCCATCTGAGCTCCATGAGGGGCCAAAGGGGAGCTGTGGTGCTGAGTGCCATCCCACACGCAGCTGGGCCATGGGCTCTGCCTTGCCAGGCAGGGAGGGCAGCACAGGGATGCTGTGGGGAATAAAAGGGCTGCAAGCAGCGTTGGAGCTGTGCAGCTTGTCAGCTACTGGGTACCAGGCTTCTGGGAGAAACCAAGGGATCTGGCCATCACTGGGCTAGCAGGGATGGGGGAGAGAGGAAATGCTTGTTTTGAAGCACACTGCTCAACAGTGGGATGGGGTAGGGAGAGCAGGACAAGTGGAATGCAGGAATCAGCAAAGAGAACGGCTGAGGGAAACCTCAGGCACTACAGGAACCATGGTTCTCAAGTGCTCTAGACCTCCAGGATGCTGCCCAAAGAAATCTAGGAAGGTTTGAGAACAGAGCTCAGGCCTGGGCTGGCTTTTCTTCTCCAGAAAGGTCTCTGTACCTGAAGAACCTCATCAGCCTGATGGCTGGGGCGTAGGCTTTTATTTCTGCACCCCTCTGGGTCTGTTCCCATCGGTCCTGGGCGTGCAGAAGATGTGTGTAGAAGGTGTGTTGTTCACTCTGTAAGCAGCTTGCCCTTTCTGCCTTCTGGAGATCGGGGACACCTCTTGTCTGCTGCTGCTTGAAGGGTGGCCTGGTTAGGGGTGAGGTGTTGCAGGGCTCTGTCAAGGATCAGGAAAATGCAGGTCGGTGAAGCAGCTTGCCAGGATGTGCGGGTGGAGTTCTCAAAGGGGGAGGATGGAAATGATGCCTCTGGAGCCAAGTTTGCCACAGGCAGGGGCTGAGTCTGGTACCAAGGAGGGTAAGAGGCTCCAGGAACTCGGGTGCCCTGCTCCTCTGTGCTCTCACTGCAATGCAGGTCCAAATACTCTGGAAGGGATTCTGGGGACAACATTTCCCTTTGCGAGGTCTTGGCCAAAAGGAAAATGTTTGTGCCCCCGAGAGATCGGGCTGTGAGGCTTCTGAGGCAGGAGTTTACAGTCCTTTAAAAAGCAAAGCAAAACAGTTCCTTGGCCAGAAAGCTGTCAGTGTGTTTTTGTTCTTTTCAAGATAACACAGAAAGTGACAGATAGAGCTTCTGTATCTTGTGTGCTCCACAGATTTACTCTGTGACCTTTCAGATATGCATGTGGGTCTCGATTTCTGAATCATAATTAGATACCCAAAAGCTGGCATTACCCATAATGTGGGATCCTTTGAGCCTGTTTGCAGAGGTGTTAATCAAACCTGGCTTTGAGTGAAGGCAGTGGGAGGAGACAGGCAGGCAGGATGTGCCTCAGTGCTCAGCCCAGATGTTGGTGCATGAGCAAGTTCCTCATCAGCCCCTTGCACAGGGCTGGAATTTGCAGAGTTGAAATGCTTGTCATGCAAATTCACGTGGTCAAGAGGATTCCTGTAGCACTGCAGGTATCTGCTTTGGAAGAGACAATCTGATCCCACCTGTTGTAGATCATTTGCAAAAATGCTTTTTATTTAAGGACTTGGGAAATAATCACTGGTTTCTGTAAGGTCACTGGCAACAAGGCTTGTGCCCACTTCCTGTTATTTTAATACTATTTGCTTTACCCCAAAAATCTTGCCTATTTAAGATCTGTTGTGAGAATGTTTGCTGGCATTAGTGTGTACAAGACTCCTTCCTGTACTACTTGTTTACCTGAGAACAAGTAATTGTTCTTCTAGTATGTGGCACCACACTGTGCCTCTGAACGAGCTGATCCGAGGCCTCTGGATTTCCCCTGGAAGTGCTGTTGCTGTGCAGCAACAAGAATGGTTTCTGCAGAGCTCCAGCTGTGGGCTACAGAGCAGCAAACCCCTGCCCTCTGTAGAACTCTTGTCTTAGGAACAGTTTTGAGTGCCAGCTTGACAGGAGAGGAGCAGCAGATGTGTGGCATTGTGCTGTCTGGGGATGGTTCAGGAATTACAGAATCACTTGGGTTGGAAAAGCCCTCCAAGGCCGTGGAGTCCAACCTTTCACCAGTCAACTTATCAACTAGAACTTAGTGCCATGTCCAGTTGTTTCCTGAACACCTCCATGACTCCACCACCTCCCTGAGCAGCCCTTTCCAATGCTTAGTAAACCTCTCCATGAAGAAATTCCTTTTGATGTCCAAATTTATGGGAAATTTTTCAGGGAACTGCCCCTTTAGCAGCAGATCATGCTCCACTGACAACAGATTTCCTCCACATATGTCCCTTCCTGAGAATCACAATGAACTCCCAGCTTAGCTCATGTAACAAGGCAAGTGCTGATAGCTTGTCACGGCTGGCCTGGGCTGACCCTGAAACCTTGGCCTCGAGGAAGGAGTCTGCAGGTGCCCTTTGGAGTCTCCTGAGTTTCTGCTGGGAACAGAACTGGCTTTTCCCACATGTGGTAACGAGCAGTGGCTGGGCATGACTGCACGGGGTCCAGACACCTTTATGGGACTTAACTGGGAGATCAACCCTTGAGGTCTTTGGTGCTGTGTTGACATCCTCTAGTGCTGCCATAGCCCAAACCACTGCTGGTTATGCAGACAAGCTCTCAGTAGGCTGGGACAGCATGAGTGGGATGCAGCTCTGCTTGACTGGAGTCACATAATGCCATTTTGTCCCCTATAAAGCTCAGGCTTGCTCCTGTTTTGCCAGAACCAAACACAGCACACACCCCCTCCACAGATAAAGACCTGGTGGTGGCATGAACACAAACATTTGGGTGCCAGGGAATCTGGGGAGGTCTCAGCAGCGAAGGGATGGAGTGACAGTGGCACAGGGTGACGTTTGCACGTTTCTCTCCCAGGACTACACCATCACCATGTACTTCCAGCAGAGCTGGCGGGACAAACGCCTGGCGTACAACGACCTCCCTCTCAACCTGACCCTGGACAACCGGGTGGCTGACCAGCTGTGGCTGCCTGACACCTATTTCCTGAACGACAAGAAGTCCTTTCTGCACGGGGTGACGGTGAAGAACCGCATGATTCGCCTCCATCCCGACGGGACTGTCCTGTACGGCCTGAGGTGAGTCCAGGGGGAGTCTTGGCTGGCTGCTGTCCAAAAGGGCACCTCATCTTGCTAAAGATAGTCTGGTAAGGCAAGGACCCAAAAGCCTAAAAGATACCCAGGTGTGGCAAAGTTTTGTGTATCCGTTCTTTGTCCAAGCTGGGCATGGTTGTTTCCTGTGGTGCCATAGATGAATGCTGGAGATGGGAATCAGTCTGCTCTGGGCATTTCAGGTCACTGTCACTCATGTTTCATAACAGTGCCGTTTCAAACACTCTTTTTCAGTTGCCTGAGGTGTTCTGCAGGTTTGGCCTATGGAGATGAGCCTTTCTTACTTTTGTGTCTAAGGCCGAGTTTCTGCAGCGTTTGAGTCAAATCACGTCAGCAGTTTTTGAGTTTGCCATAGAAGACAGGGTTTTGTATGGTTAAAAACAAAATGTGTGTTTACTAGAACAATTCTTAAAATTGAGGCTTGAAAGTGGGTATCTAATAGAGGAATGGTCTTCAGTGGGAAGGCTTTTTTTGGTGTCTGGGATAAATTGACATGAGCAAGTCCAAAGGCTTTGAAATTGCAATTGCTGTGATTGTGCGTGGTGGAGGGAGCAAAGGTTGGGCTGTTATCTGGCAATGTGAAGGGGACAGAGCAGGTAAGAAACTTAAATGGAGGGAGCAGAGGGTTAAAAGGGGAATTTGCAACTGCAGGATGCTGTAATGAAACCCAGGTAATGATTTTCCCAGCCCTGTATTTGTCTGCCTTTCTCCTAATATTTTTGTTGGTTTGAGATCTGGGGTTTTTTTGCTGTTGGTTTGGTTTGGTAGTTTGCTTTTTTGGTTTTGGTGGGTTTTTTTCACCTTTTCAACTACCCAAATTCACAGCTGGCTCTTTTGACCTGCCTCCACAATTACAAATGTTTGTGATAGCTCTGGGCTTACATCCCACTGCAGCAAAGGGGGAGGAAGGACCTTTCTCCTTCCAAGAGAGTACACCCACCCCTTCCCATTTACAGTATCAGCTCCTCTGCTGCTTCATATTTTGTGGCAAAGTCTGCATTGTGTGATTATTTTCCTCCTCTTTACGTAGCTGGGCTGTTTTGGGGAGGGAAGGGCTGGGTGTGGGCATGGCCAAGCAGGACGGTGCCCAGGACATGAACCTGCCAGGGCAGCAAGGTGGTCGTGCCCTGTGCTGTCCCTTTGGCAGAGCCCTGGGAAGCCCAAAGAGCAGCAGTCACTGCTGGTGCTGAGGGACAGGCTGTGGTACGTGGGCTCATGTTTACTGACCCGCTGAAAAGACTTCCCACAGCTCACTACCCCAAATTTGCACCTTATCTGGAAACAGGCGTGAAGGCTGGGCAGGAAGATGTGTGACTAGGGCAGGTAGGAGCATGAATTCAGCCTGGTGGGAAGGAGGGGGCAAAGATTGCTGCTCTGAGCTCAGGCTGCTCTGTGCTGCTGAGCCAGCCCACCTGGGTGCAGAGCTGCCTCCCCCAGCCTGGTGGGAAATCTTTGCACACACCTGCACAGCAAAAGAAGAAGAAGAAGAAGAAGTGCTAGTGTATTTTTATCAGCTGCCATTTAGTCAGCTCACAGAAGGAGTGGTGTGAACACAGCAGCACAGGTGACAGGCAGTGGAGGTCCTTGGAGAGGCTGCACTTGAGCTGGCTGGGGCTGGGACACTGTGCAGGCACCTGGAGCACTGTCCTGTCCCTTCCCTTCCCCTCCCACGGGGCCCAGCTGTGCAGGGAAGGGAGCTCAGCTCCCTCAAATGACCTGTGCAGACAGCTGAGAGGGGGAAAATTGCATCCAGGCCAAAAGAAAGAAAATGACAGCTGTTTGCCCGTTATTTCCAGGGCCACAGTAAGAGCTGCCTGTGTTGGTTTAACTTTTGGCTGGTTTTCCTGGAAGCTGCTCTTTTGCCCCTGGAGAAAATGGCCATTGTGAAAATGAGGCACTGAGCAGCTGCAACTCCTGTTCCCAAACTGTACCTCAGGTCAGGGCCTGAAAGTACTGGGGGACAGTTGAGGTGCCCTGAATGCTTGAAGTCCCTCTAGCTTTGTTCACAAGGGTGTGGACAATGATTTCCTTAGGGATGCTTTCTGTACTCACTCCTGCACCTGCAATTTTATCAGAACCAGAAGTACTAGGTCCAGTTTTCTGGGTGCAAATAGCTGTGATCCCATTCATAAATACACAGCCTTGTGCAGAGCAGATGTAAACAGGGAAGAAAATAGTCACTGAATATTCACCTGTGTTCCCTTCATCTTTGTAAATATTCACCCAGGCTTGTCCTCCAAACAGAAAGGGAACTGCAGGACCACCCTGTGTTTTGGAACCTGCTCTTGTCATGTCTTGAGTTTGGAGGTAGAATTTATAAAATGGAGTTGCCCTGGTGGGAGAAGGCCAAAGGGGGCAGTTCCTGTTGCTTTTCCTTTGTTTGCCTGCTTTTCCCTGAGCGAGATTCCACATCTCCGCTCCTTCCCCTGCTACCTTCTCGCCAGCCACTCCCCCCTCCTCTGAGCTGATCCTGTAGCAAAGTGACTCAATCATGCTATTTGTGGCACAACAGTCACTTTTCTTTCCAGCAGCCTCTGATGTCAGAGAGCAGGGAGGATGGCACCCTGGCAGGCCCCTGCCTTCAGCCAGTGCTCCGGGCAGGATCGGGCTCAAGCCCTGGATCAGATCCCAAGGTCCAGCTTAGCTCACACTCAATCAGTGGGTGCTTTGTTGCTGACTTCAGGGAGAACAAGATCAGATAACTTGTTTGCACGAGTAAATGAAGCCCTTTAAACCACTGTGAAAGCTGGGTGTTGGGAAAGCATTTGGGTAGAAAGGTTTGGGTAGAATTAGCAAATTAAGGGATGAAGGGAGTGCAGCAGATGTGGTGTAGCTACATCAAATCCCACTGGACTCAGATTTTTTTTTGGTCAGAAATCACATTGGTTTCATCCAATTTTAAACAAAAAATTAGGGAGAAATTTTTCACTTAGGAAAAAGCATTTCAGAGGTTGTCCATGTTTCACTCCTAGTTTTTGTGCACAGAATGTTTCACTTATGTCAATATTTCCCTCACTATTTCGAGCTGCTTTAGAACCACTACTGATGTCTAAGATGAAGAATTGTCAGGGCTTTCTCTGGACCTCCAGGGACTGTGTAGTCCACCCCTGCCACAATATTCAATAAACTCTGCACTGTCACACATACAAGCTATACATTACAGGCTGAGATTTTTATTTCCTTTTCTAGACCATGTAGCATCCATTTGGTAGTGAAACAAGTTGACACTTGTCAAGTGCTGATGTCATCAGTATTTTGCTGTCTGTTTTCAGAGGCCTAAAAATAGAAACAACTGTAACAATGCTGAGATTCTCGGCTGGTAATTGGAAATCATATTTGAAACCAGCTTTAAAAATCCTTCAGGGAAATCTCGAAGCTATTTGATTTCGCTCTAATTAGGGACAAAACTGGATTTTCAGCAGAACAGGTGATTTGAGGAGCCCGGGCTGCGTCCCTGAGCTGGAGGGGGAGCTGGGATGGTGGGGAGCAGGCACAAAGCCGGGGGGGCAGCAGGGGAGATGTGATGCCTGGCTGGCGAGGAGCCCAGGCAGTGTAAACTGAGCTACTGGAAAACTGCAGAGGAATTCGATGATGGAGTCTCAGTCCTGTGCAGAGAGAAGGAGGGATCTCCTCCTGCGAAGGTGGGAGTGGTGGTGGGAAACGTGTGTTGTCAGTTTTTGCGTCCCTGTCCGTGACGAGGTAGCGAGGTGTGTTTTGGAGATGAGTCAGTGTGGAAGCACGCAGAGGGGCCGAGGCATGTGGGGCTCCAAGCCTGGGGAGGCAGAGCCCTGCTGTCCTCATCGGTGAAAGTGCCTGTTCAGTGCTTAAAGCAAAGGGGAGAGAGAAGGGTCGTGCTTCGAACAGCTCCAGAGTTGCAGTTTGGAACTGGGAGAAGCTGGGTGTATCTGCTTCATTTCTGCTGTTCTTGGTGAGTTCTCATCGTCAGTCAGCTGCTCCTGGGGGATGTCAGCCCTCTCACTGCAGCCAGTTACTGGTTGTGGACCAGCCCTCGCTCCTGGGTAAGGCAGCAGCCTGAGCACCAGCCCTGGCTCACCTTGCCTAGGGAGGCAGGGCAGGTTGACAGACCTGTAGCAAGCATCAGCATCCCACCCACGCTGTCAGAGCCTCCAGGGCTGCCCAGCCTGCACCCCATGGCTGGGGTTCTGCTGGAGCTCATCTTTGGGGGCTCCCTCAGAGCTCCCATCTCCATCCTATTGCTTTACCAGGGCCCAGCCCTGTCAGTATTACCCTCCCTGGGTCCCAGCCTGGGCTTATTTAGCTCTCCAACCTGTTAGAAAGGTTTCTCCTGCTCCTGTCTCACTTGAAACCTGCTGTTTTCAGCCATGTCCTTGTTTTCTCCATGGCTGTTAGGTGATTTTCTGCAGACAAGGTGGCCTGATGGGTTAAGATGGAGGAGTTTTTAAGACTGAAGAATTTTTTTCTGTACTGAGACCACTGAGCAATTTTCCCATCTCACAGGCCAGAAGGGAATAAATCCTCTTTTTTTTTCTTCCCTTTTCCTCCCTGAGAGAGGTTTCTCTGGAAATGTGAGGGATGGATGAATCAGGCTCTGCCTTGTCTCTAGGAGCTCTCCCTGCTCCCTGCACAGGTTAACCAAAGGCAACAGAAATCTCTCCCTTGGCAGCTTGGGTGCAAGGAGTTGGACTTATATCCATCCATCCACCCCCTTGGAGCTGGTTCTGCAACCTTGTCCTGCTCTCACCACAGAGCTCTGCCTTGGCCCAGCTCCTTAGCACAAAGATGTGGAGGTTGGAGAGGAGTTTGTTAGGTGGGTGAGAGGAAATGAGGATTTAATTACCAGCTCAGCTCCCCAGCTGAGGCTAAGGAAAGATCCTCCTCTCATTTTTGCCTCCTAGAATCGGGATGAGGGATTTAACAGGAAAACAGTGGAAGAAAGTTTAATAATATGGAGTTTCTGAGTAATCTTGGATGCTGGTGAAGAAATT